ATACGCAACTTACAGATTTTATCGGTTTTATCGAATTTTTCGCGGGGAAATTTAAAATAGAAAAAATACCTCGCAAGGATTCTTTTCTGCGATTCGATGCAAAAGTGCGACGTGATTGTACAGAGAGAATCTCTCAGAAGACGTATGTACACATACGTGCGCGTATCCGCCTCGACGACGTTATAATTTAAAGCGAGGCGTTCTTTCAACGAGAGGCTCACCTTTCGCGATGCCGGCTACTATTTACCTTTAAGCACCCTCGGCGGACCTCCGGCAGGAGGTCACATCCTGCTGGTGTAATTATCTTATCTGGCTACGTCATCCCGCACGTTGCGGTGCGCGAGGAGGAGGAGAATTACCCGCGTGAATTACCGCGAGGATATATCGCCGACCGAGCAATCGTATCGCGCGGCAGATACGCGCGCGCGGAGTGATTCGACCCGGTGGGTTCTCGCGCCTTCGGCGGTTTATTTATCCACGAGGCAGGTAAATCAATCGGCGCGCAGGAGGATTATACTCGAAGAATACGAATTACCGCGAGCCGCGACTCAGTAGTTTCGCGATAGAACTGGTCAGACGCGATCACAGGCCGCGATGCGACGTCAAAGCCACGAGGATTATATATCGGTTAATTAAAAGCGCGGATTATTCCGAGTCTTGATTTTGCGAGAAATCTGAAATCGATTCCTTTCCGTGCGGCCGAGATCGCGCGCCAATAATTTTTCAAAATGATTTTTCGAGCGCGAGAAAGAAATTCAGACTCGCGTCTAATTGTGTAAGCTTAAATAATCTCTATGCTGGTAAAAGCCGTTACTTTACGTCGTATAATAAGCAAGATGCGTAATGCCAGTTACCAGTGAGGGACCCAAGAAATTGTAAAGAATAACCAATTAGGGACGGCTTCTCGCGTTGGTTTCACCGGATTCGTTTTACCACCTTCGTCGTAAATTCAACAGCTGGATAGACCAGCTGTAGATCAGAGTCCCTCCCCCCCTCCTCTACCGAAGAAAGAACGATAGATCAGTGGTACACGCCGTGCCATGCGACTTCACCTCGTCGTCTAATGCATGCGCGCAGCCGGTGTACAAGACCCGTCCGTCCCGCGCCGCGCCGGCAGAGTGTGGTGGCATTTAGGATCCGTGCCGCGTCGTGCTCGCGGCGCGGTGATGTTACGCAAGGTGCGCCTTTAACCGCGCGCGCGCGCGGTCCAGCGGGATTCTTGCGAAATTCCCGACCCGTGTGCGAGTTTCTCGTTGAAAAGCGGCGCGTCCTCCGTCGCGTTATCCGCCGTCTTTTCACGTCTTTTTCCCGACGGGATCGTCGGGCGCGTTCGCCTCGAGAAGCCCCCGTGTTATAGAATCGCGAGATTTCGAGATAAACAATTTTCCCGGGCACATATAAATGCCTCCGTTTGAATATTTTTCAAGAAAAAATTTTTTTAAAGAAAGAAAAAGAAAAAAGGCGCGCGTTTCGACATTTGAAATCTCAATCTCGTCGTCACATTTTCATTCGCTTCTCGGAACTTTTCACGAAACCGTCTTTCGGTTTCTCTTCGTGGGAATGATTCTTGCCGAAACCATCAGTGAAATTGCCGGCAGAGGTTATTAATTGTTAGCATAGGATGACAGGGATCAGGTGTCAACTCCGGAGTCCTCGTACCACGCAGCGCGTAACGCGTGGATCTTTGCGTAACGCCGACGCGCGACGGACAGCTCGCATCTGTTTATCCGGAATAATCGCGCGCGAATATATGCTTATTTGCATCCAGCGGCGCGCGCGCCGTCCGTAATACCGTCGCGCACAATCGATTATACAATAATATCGCGCCTCGCGAGAAGACGATCCCGCCGCGGAAAGGAGAAGTCACGATTTGACGTGGCCCGCCGGTCATCGCCGCCACGGGACGATGCACTAACTCGGTTATCTATATACGGCGTCCCGGAAGCCCAGATCTCCTCGGCTTAATAACCTTTCGCGAATTTCGCGGCTTTAATTTCAGCAGCGTTGCTCACAGAACGATCTTACAAAAGAAATTATAAATTATACGTACTTTGCATATAAAAAATTGAAGTTCTATTATCTAATATCAACATGTTATTAAAGTTATTTTTTAAATTGATCTACCCATTTTGAAATAAATAAAATTATATTTACAATTATATATTTTCATTCATAATGAATATATATTATCGATAATCATATATATTATCATTCGTGATTTATTTGACATGTATATATGTAATTCTTCTAATATCGTCATATCATATTGCTGTTGCATAAAATTAAAAAGATGAAAACTTCTTGTTTTTTTCTCAAGAATTTTGCAATAGCCTATAATTGGAAAGCGAATCGGTCTGTCCGTAATTTTTTTCTTATTTTTTTCCTTCAACTTGAGATTTAGGTTCCTTCTCATTTATCATTTTATTTTCATGATAGATGGATCAATTCGAAGTTTCAAGCTTTTTTTCCTCTTTTTTTTTTAGAAACTAATTCTCTAAAATTTGTGACGGTAATTTGCGGGGAAAAACTAACGAGAGGAATGGAAGAGAGAGAGGTACGTATGGAGAGGGCAAGGGACTATCGGAAACATTAATCGTTATCCTTCGTCGATGATGCGAGTCAAACGTGCCGATTGGCTAATTTGACGATAACGACTCCCGGGTATTAATTCGATAATTCAGCCTACGGCGCTCGCACTGTGTATTATTAGTTAGCGAACGTACGCAATTATACGAGGCGGGGTGTACTTCAATATAAAACGTAGCCACGTGCAATCTCGCGATTATACATGCCGCGTATATGATATAACGTGATACGCGGCCTCTTGATCGTAGACGCATTAGAAAGTGCGATAGCATCTCCGCACGCGCAATGATAGATATAATGGCATATTATATAATATATAATGACACGCACGCGCGCGCATAATTGTCCAATGTTTAGACAAGATAGACAGAAGTAAAAAAAAGAAAGAAAAAAGACGGTGCATCGCGGAGAAAGTGAATAGTTTCAACGACAGGTTGTCAGCAGCAACGGCAATAATTAGGTAGATAAAAATTCGATCTGCCGTAATATATAAATTAAAAGAATTTAGAATCCTTTTTTTATAAGATCACTCGAGTGCTGCTTAATGAAATAACGAGCACGGTATTGCTCTACCACGAAGATCGTGTGGAGGAGCGAAGAGTCTCGTGGAGAAGATCAAAGGCGCGTGGCATCGTTGACTTCCATCCTCCCACGAAGATTCTCTCTCCGCAACACGTTCCTCTCTCCCTCCCTCTTTCTCTCTCTTTCTCTTTCTCTCGTCTCGATCATTAGCATAAGCCGTTCGCTTACGTAACAATATACTTTCTTCTCAAATCTCGGCCAGCGCGCATCATTCCTTCTTCGTTACTCGCTGATATAATTCGTGTCAGACAATAAGATCGTTTCGTGCGCCATCGACCAGAGATAAATATAACGCGAAGGAAGCTCGGATTTTTCAAATTTTTACGAGGCGGAACCTCGACTATCAATTCAAGCATTTAAATTTGCGTGACTTGGTATAGCAATAAATTATAATTATGTTTGTTAAGTGGACAGTAATTCTCTAGAGGGAATGACAGAGACATTGATGACTGGAATAAACCATTTTTAGAATAGATTCTTCCTTGGAAATAAAATAGACGCTCTTCGCCAGTTCCGGGACTGTACTTTACATCAGAAACCCGTTTTTTTGAATCAGAAAATAAAACAAAAAAAAAGAATGAATCGTCTCTTATAATATCTAAATTTTTCGGACATCAAAACATGTCATTGGATTATTGGGTTGCTGCACAGTTGCATAACATCATCTTGATCAATATTTTTTACGAGCGGCTAATACGATTATGGTTTCTTAAAGCAATTAAAATAGATTCTAAAATACATTTGCGTGCACGTCTGTGTATTCATATTATTCCGTGTTATTTTCAAAAAAAAAAAAAAATATTTTTACGTAACTGACTTATTATTATGACTTGAAAAAAAACTTTCCATAAAGTAATATAAATTAAACGTATTTATTTTCGTTTCTGGTCGATCGGTGGATGCAACGTCGATTTATCAAGCCAGAAAAAAAGTTTCTCCTAATAATAATTCACGAGTCAGTGCGCCTGTAATCTTCTCTTAATTTTATTACTCGCTAAATGAAATGTTTCGCTGTCAGCTGATTGTCGATGAATCGTAACGTGATGCAACAGGAGTCATGCATGATAGATCGTCGGCTTTGATTCACAGAAAATTTAGTTAGTTGACCAAACACATTAGAGCTGCATGCACACGTGCGTGTTAATATCCGCATCCAAGATGAGCCCCTGTGCACGTTGCATAATGCAAAAACATAATATAAGACCAATGGATTAAGTTTTAACGAGAACGCACGAGCCGAGGGATTTACGTGTAACCTTTACCGGGGGCTTATCTCTCTTTCTCTCTCTCTCTCTCAAAGTGCATTTGAAATTGTTCCCAGATTAATCCGTGACTATTAACGCTGGAATTACGACAGCGCCTGGGCCAATAATAATGATACAGGTCGCGTTTCGACAAGCGAGTCTTCGCAAGCGCGGCGTTATTTACGCGAGCGTCGCACGGGGATATCGAGAAAACGAAATTCCGCAGAAAATTAACAATTAAATCTCTCTCTTTCGTCGGCTTTCCTCGCATGTCAATCATATCCGTCGCGGCCGAGTATTATTGAGCTTGAAGACGAGGAATTAGAGTTACGATCATCTCTCTGTCGCGGCGACCTGCGTTCAGGTGAAACCGCCCCAGCAGCGCTCGGTCCCGTCCGTCCCTCGCATTCCAGCCTGACATTCTCGGCCGCGCGCAACATTGGCTGTTGTGCCATCACCGCCCGCCCGCCCGCGGTCGGTCGGTCGGTCATTTAAGGATTTCGACATATGAACATGAAAATTTTGGCAACGCCGGTGAACGAGATGGTAGGGCGTAATTCACATCGCAACAATTCTGGCTATATATAATCGGCCGACCGGTGCCGCAAGTCGAATCAGTTTAGTGAGCCATCTCAGCACGCGGTTCTCGCCACCTGTTTTCTCTGGGAAAGAAGAAGCCTGCTTTTGTAATCATGAAGCTGGTGCGTGTTTCTCCGAGGCTACGATAACGACGGTTGACGAGACAAAAAGAGTGTCCGCGTGCGCGCGCGATCGCTGATCGGCAGCGATCGGTCCCGGCGAGCTCTCTCGGCGCGGCGGATGAGTTTTTGGAATGAATCTCTCGGTGAATCTCGCGGTGTTGGTGACTTCTCGGAAACTTTCGCTCGTCCGGGATCTCAAGGATTATGAAATATCACACCATCGCGTTATCAAGCGGCTCGTCATCAATTAGGGATATTATATTATTTGTTATTTCTCAGAGAAATGCGCAAAATATGAGAAATTGAGAATGCATTAGAATGACAGTTATTGTCATCGCAAGAGTTATCCTGGCTTCGCGCGAAAGAGAGAAATGTGTCTCACTTTGTATCTAATTATTCATATATATATATAAATCTTTTTTTCTAATTCTTTATTAATTTATTAAATCTTTATTTCTACATTTACTAATTATTCTTTTTGCGAAAAAGAAATGTATTTTGACTTACAAGCGGACGGAAAAATAGAAACAGACTACGTCACGATGAACGTGTAAAATACATCAAGCATGTAATTTTATCACTAACGATTGGGAATCGTTTGACAAATTTCATTTCGTTACTTTGCACGTTACTTCAGATCATCGTCCTCGCCGCCGTCGTCGCCACCGCCCTCGCGGCTCCCCAGCGTAACGACTACAGAGACACCGTGCTCGTGAAGGAGACGCCGCTGGACAACATCGGCATCGACGGATACCAGTACGGTTACGAACTCTCCAACGGCCAGGCCCATCAGGAGTCCGCCCAGCTGCAGAACCCCGGCCAGGAGAACGAGGCCCTCGTCGTCCGCGGTAGCTTCACCTACGTCGACCCGGAGACCAACGTCAGGTACACCGTCAACTACGTCGCCGACGAGAACGGATTCCACCCTGAGGGAGCGCATTTGCCGGCCGTCTAAATCTGAATCTTGACGAGAAAGAATACTAACTACCTGCCAATCTCCTGCCTCTGTGTTTTCGAACTTTCCAGTCCAGTCTCGCGGCTACACTCGAAGAAACTCAACCCTCTCGATCTCTCGATCACATACACACATGAAACTAGTTTTAAATAAATTGATCTTTACTTAAGCCCTTCCGTGTCTACATTATTCCACACCTCTTCCATTTTCGAGGACGTTACTTCGATCATCATTGATGGACAAGTAACGTTCTCGGTAAAACCTGAGGTTGAAACCTGAGGATGTAGTAAATTTCGCGGATCAACAAACGAGCAATTCGGACGAATTGTCATTTAATTCGCCATTTAATTTATTACAATATGTTTAACAAGACGTATAATAATTTGTATTTTTTAATAAAGTAATAAAAACATGTATTATAATGCTCAATTTTTGTCGATTGATCTACGGTTTATATGCAATAAAGTGTTTAAATACATCGATGTTATATGGAGTAGTAAATTTCGATAATGAAATAATTTAAACGCGCTTGAAATACACAATAATGTATTCTAGTTATTGTTAATTAAATGCAAACTTTTTGCATCTAATTATTATATTTGACTAAAGAATATACTCAAAACAATAGAAAAAGGAAACAATAATGTATTCATATGTATAGCTTGTCAAAAATTTATAATTTTCTGTAGTTGTTTATCATAATTTTTTAAACATATTATTATACTTAATTGTTCTATATCTTTTTGATAACTAAGTTTGTTTTCGCGAAAATTAATAGTTATTTAACGTTAAATTTTTACAAAAATAATTAAAAATCATCATTTACTTGATAAAAGCTGTTGTACTAAAAAATACTTTGATAGAAATTGTTACTTCCATTGTTAAAAATCTTTTGATTATATTAAATCAATATATTATTTTCAATAATCTTTCACGAGAATATAATAAATTTACTTCTTTTAATGTTTTCAAGCAGCACTTTTTAATAAATCATCGATAAATTGATCAGAGGGCACAGAACTTTGAAAACCCATCGTATGCCGTGAACACATCTCTCCTATGTCGTTAACGATGATATGTTTCGCAACAAAATGTATAACGAAAGAATCCGAATAGATTAAGCAAGTAGTTTCCCTTGATCGTGTCGAAGGTTGAAAATGTTATTTTTACGTTGCTATCATTTTCAAGGCTTTGACTAGTAGTGTTCCTTGAGGGCGGCTAAAAATCTCTCTCGCCACAACGTGACGTCGCATGCCGTTAAGGAGACGGGTACCAATAATCGAATTTAAACTTCGCTGCTTTACAGACCAGGGTCACTTAAATTTATGGAAGTGAGGATTCGCAAAGTTAAGTCTCTCCATAAAGGTTACATCAATAATTAATGATTGGAAATACCTGAAATGAATTCTTGAAGAAAAATGGAATTCCCTCTTGCGTGTCCATGAATTGCCAGAAGATTTTTTAAAACAAATCTGGATACTTAATAATACAAATTAAATGTGTATATATTCAATTTGTATTATTAATACAATTTAACATAAATATCTGGTCTTAAGTATCCAGATTGGTTTAAAAAAATCCTCTTGCAATTCAAGGACATGCATATATGTATATTTAATTTGTATTATTTTATTATGGCTTATGTTACATAAATGCATTTATAATTTATTAAATAGTTATATTTGAATAAATTTATTTATATTAATTTATGTTAATATTACACAATCTTGCAAGTTCAAAATAAGATCTCGTCCTAAAAATGGACTTATGCAGATTTGTCTACGTTTAAATTTTTGATAAATAATAATTACATTCTATTATTGACAATAAAAAATTATTTCATTCAAATAAAATAAGTAGGATAAAATTTGCGAGATCGAGCTTTCGAGATCAAGTTTTCGAAGGGGTGCGCTCATTACTTTTAAATTGCAAGTTATGAAGTCATTCAATTGTCATCCGTAAAAAATTCTTACAAAGGTCAAAATCTAGACGACGGATCGGGACATGAGTTAAATAGCGATTCGAGAAAGAAAGGTGAGAGGTGACTTGTTGTAGACCCAATCAAATTTTGGCAGTAGGAGAAGCACTATAAAATCCCTGCTGATTTCGACTATCTACCGCAGTCTTCTCCGTCAAACGAGAGTAGCTATACATCAGCCTTCATCTTCAACATGAGAACAGTGGGTATTCGAGATTTCCTCTCTTATTCCTTCCCCCAAATTGAAATTATAAAATTTGCAACGAGTCAAATCTTTTTTTTTTCCCGTTGGCACGAGCGCGGGAAATTTATCGCCAATTAATTCGAAGATCGTGAGTCACAGCGTCGAAATATGAATACCGCTCACACTTGCGCCACGAATTATTAATAACATTCAATAATAATCGCGAAATAAAAGCGAAGTGACGGATTGTTACCGATAAATCGACTAATTGACGTTTCCCTCCCCGCAGATCGTCGCCCTCTGCGCCCTCGTGGCGGTCGCCCTCGCGGCACCCCCTGAAACCAGACACGACTACAGCCAGACTGTGCTCGTGAAGGAGACGCCGCTGGACAACATCGGCCTCGACGGATACCAGTTCGGTTACGAGCTCTCCGACGGCCAGACCCACCAGGAATCCGGCCAGCTGCAGAACCCCGGCCAGGAGAACGAGGCCCTCGTCGTCCGCGGTAGCTACAGTTACGTCGACCCGGAGACCAACGTCAGATACACCGTCAACTACGTCGCCGACGAGAACGGATTCCATCCCGAGGGAGCGCATCTGCCGACCGTCTAAATTTATTAATCACGACCAACGAGAGATACTGAAGTCGATATGAAAAACAAAAAAAAAACGACCAGCTTTGGATACATTTTCCTGATCACCAAAATCGGCCCGAAGGACAATTGAAGAGTACATGGCATTCTCGGCAGCTGTTTCGAACCGTCTAATATCTGCATAATTAGCTTATAAAATTCAGTATTAAATTCACATTTATTATGTGCAGATGCTTCGTAGATGAACATACTGCAATTTATGATGTAACATCGTATGTATAACTGCGAAGTATTTTTTCCCCATAGTTATTATCCGCATGGATGATCAAGTACGGATGAGAGCGATGCAGGTTTTAAATTTAAAAAAAAATTGAACGTCATCACACGGATGTATGTATATATATCTACGTTAAATAAATTGTAAAATTATTTACATTATGAGTTAACCGTCGAGGTTCCAGTCGATTGTTAATAGTACCTTGTTGACAATACGAAAATCGATAATTATTAACAGTTCCTCTCAACATGAATTTAGTCGTATTTGAACTGCGCAGCTATATTCAGAAAAATTCTAGCGACATCGGCGATTTCTATGATTCCATCGCAGCGATGCGATTCCATCCTTATACACAATAGCTGTCAAGATCTCAAAGTTAAGAATCTTATTAAAGACACGCGTGAATATTTTTTTTCTTTAATAATTACGAGAAACTCAGTCGGGAAACTCTGTTGCACCTATTTTGTATTTATCTTCTTTCTTTTTCCTCTTTCTCAAAAGATACATACTTATATTGCTTTATATGTATATATGTATCGCTGCATTCCAATTTAAAAAATACAAGGGGACGCGAAACGAGATAACGTATAGTTAACAGTGTCTCTTGCTAAATTGTCTGAATAGTTAGAGGATTACTGTGCGCAGCATCAATATTCTTTTGAAATACCGGAAGGTGCCGTAATATTTATGAAATTCTTGAATTTATGAATAATTTTTGCATTAATAATCAAATTTCGCTAAAGTGTCTGAATATTTTAAGGATCGATATGAACGTTACATAATATATACCAATAAACTGAATATGTTAATCAATATATATTTGCTACAAAAAACGATACTTTTGCATATTAATTATTTATACTTGTACCTATAGCGATTTATATGTATTTATAATATTTATATTTCTATGCACGTTTTTAAGTGCAATTTGTATCTACTAAATACTGTTATATTTATTCACTTTTAGAACACACGTTTATAATTATATAAGTCATTAGTTTTGATTTATCCCCTACAAGTAGTTTAATGCACCTCATTTATCCCCTACAATTACTGGTACGATATATTCTATCTATCTTCAATTGTTTACTATTACTGCAATGAGAGTGCTTCGCCGATTGAATTAACATAATCACGCTCCGTCAGACACATTTCTCTCAAAGAATGTATCAGCAGTAAACAGAAACCATAACCTGCATCCTACCATTCTCGAAAGGTTGCGGAAATAATAGATTACGAGAAATTGATTACCTTCCGATTAAAATTCCTTCACTCACGTGCTCCCAATCAGCTGATGTTTACTGGAGGCATGCGGAGGCTCATTCTCTGTTGCAGAACTCTTGGGTTCTTCATCCGTCTCTCTCTTTCCAACACATCTAATTATCCCGCCTATTTATTAAGTACAAATAATGTAACAACTATAATTTCGACCGTGCAAGAAAAAAAATTCTAGGAAAACGTGCTTATATCAATGAGGCACAGAAAACTCAACTGGAGTAAGACACGCGAATTCAAGTATTTAAATTCAGGAGGGCGAATTCTCGATATTAGGACAACACGGGGCGCAAGAAGTAACGCCGATAACAATAGGGTAGACGTACAATCCGTGTGGCGTGTGTGTATGTGTTTTATTTATGGAACTGTATGCTCGCTTACCTGGCGCCGCTCGTGAGACAAAACGCGCGCACGTTGAACTACGTCCCAGGCCTCTCTCTCTCTCTCTCTCTCGGTTGGGAATATCGCATCCGAAATGCCGACGGGAGACAGCAGACGGCCGCTCTCGTGCTTCCTTCCACCACACCGTGGTGTGCAAATCGTGTTCGTGTTGACACGTCGAACCGTGTCTCCGACCTCCGCGAGGTGTGTGCTCGGTGTGTGCCCCGTCGCGCGATTCCCGTCGCTAGTAATGACGTTTAATTGCGATTCCTAACATTGGCGCGAAGCGTTCACCGGTGCGGGACGGGCGCGCGACTACGAGCCCGATGATCCCGATCGTCCCGCCGCTGCGCACGTACGGCGCGTCGTCGTAGAGCACTCGCCCGTTCTACGCGGCCGAGCGCGGAGGTTAGGAAATCTCTGCGTGGCGACCCGACACGTTTTACGCTCGCGCGTAAAGCGTAATCCGGTCCCGCTTCCTCTCGTTTTTCCGCGAGCGAAGGGACGCCGGCACGAGCGTTCGGCTCAAGCCGCGAGGCGGGGAGGCCGCTCGACCGAAACCACCAGGAAACATCTGGACCGAGGGGGTGGGCGATGCGATGACCGTTGGCGAGGATCGTTGAACCAGGGTCGAATCTCGATCGGCGCCACCACCCAGGAGGGAGAGATCTCTCGCGGCAATGGCGAAATTCCGGATGCTGCCGCGCACGTCGCGCATCGTGGCCCTCTGCTCGGCCGCGAATTTCATCAACGCCGCGGACCGGGTCATCATGCCCATCGCCATCGTGCCGATGACCGACGAGTTCAAGTGGAACCTGTACTGGCAGGGATGGATACTGTCAGCGTTCGCCTTCGGATACTTCACTAGTCAGGTTAGACGCCTCCCGTACTCCCTTTCGTGTCCTTTCGCCGAAAACGCAGTCTACCTATATATATATAACGCTGTTCATTCTCTATCTCTCCCTCAAGATCATCGGTGCGAGCACAGCGAGTCGTTTCGGCTGCAAGACGGTGCTCATGCTAGCGGTCTTGCTGTGGTCCATCAGCACGGTCATCACGCCGTTGCTGGCACAGTCGGTGCCGTTACTCATATTCTGCAGGGTGGTTCTAGGCCTCGGAGAAGGATTAGGTGAGGATGGAAGGGGGGAAATATTGTAGCAGATGTGACAATCCATTCCTGAACATTCGAGAGTTAACGTGGCATTGTTTTTCGCAGGCCTACCAGTGATATTTCACTTATTTGCACACAATGTTCCTGTGGAAGAAAGATCACGCGCTTTCGGCTACCTAGTAGCTGCCGGTTCTGTTGGCCAAGTGGTCGCGTCTGTCGTAAGTCCCTATTTTCTTCCTTACTTTCAATGTGTGTTGAATCACGCAAGAAAAAAAAATTACATTTTTACAAATCGTATGTTCTTTCATTCGTCAGATATGTCCGCACTTGGCATGGCAAACGGGATTTTACTTGTTTGGGACGATAGGTATCATATGGACTCTTTTGTGGCTGATGCTGTACCAGGAAACTAATTCTCAAGACGAGATACCGTTATTTGTTCCTAAAGTAAACCTTTCTCTTTCTCCGATATTTAATTTACTTGCGATTCTATTTTTGGCACTAACGTTTCATAATTGATCGACAGGTGGCTCAGAATAGAAGTCTGCGTTGGACCGAGTTCATTGCTCACTGGCCCCTGTGGGCTTTGTACATAGCGCACTTTGCGATGAACTGGAGCAATTACATAATAATGCAGTGGCTACCCACTTATCTGGCGAGAAATTTGTCTGCGAACAAGGAGAGCATTAGCTTGACGGCTCTCCCTTATGTCGTTAACTCTCTCATTGGTATTGGTAGGTATATGCAAATATATACAGGGTGGGTACTACCGGGAAAAAACCGGGAAAACCTGAAATTCTCAGGGAATTTTATTTTCACCCTTGAAAATCATGGAGTTTTACTGGTACTCAGGGAAATTTTTTTACTTTTACTTTTAAATTTAATTTTATCCCTTTAAAAAGTAAATGCGTGGCTTTATATCAAAGGCCTCTGATTATTGAAAATTAATTTGTTTTAAAATTGACATATTATATAAGGACTCTTCAATCTAAAAAACGATAATATGGAAATAATAAATCAGGCATTAGCAAGAGTCTAATAACGCAGAACTTGGAGCGTGAAACAATTTAATCTTCACATATGTAGTTACATCTCCATACAAAATCTGTCGTTACGTTCGGAAAATTTTGTATGGAGATGTAACCATTGTACATGTGAGAAGATTAAATTGTTTCACGCACCAAGTTCTATACGTTATTAGAACTCTTGGTGCTTAATTTATTTTAAAACTGTATTGAGAAATTCTCCGTTCTTATCTGGAATTTTGAACAAAATTCTTGGAAAATCCGGGAATTTTCAGGGAATTCTTTTACAAAGTTTGAGTACCCATCCCGATATAATTATATATTGCAATATTTTTATTTAAATTTTTATTTTTAAAAATATCTCCTTTCTTTTTTGCAGTCGCTGGCCATAGCGCTGATACTTTGATACAAAAGAGATGGTCCGTTCTGTCTGTTAGAAGATTGATGACGAATATAGGCCTAATAGGACCAGGTGCTTTTCTATTAGCTTTTTGCGCTGTAGATAATCTGCTTGCTGCAGTCATGTATGTATAACAACATTATTCCTGCGTTTTATATTATTATTGGATATTTCTTTACGAAATTATATTACGTTACAGCTTTGTTTCGATATCTATGGGCCTCTGCGCGTGCAACTCGGCCGGACATCTGAGTAATCACGCGGACATAGCTCCGAATCATGCGGGAATTACATTTGCAGTTTCAAATACGATTGTACGCATATTTTTTTTCTACCTGAAGCATTAATATCGAATCGATCGTCGCGGAATTGACTGCATTGTCTGTGTACGTCTTGATTTTCAGGCAACAGTACCTGGCATTCTCTGCGGACCATTGACAGCCGAATTGGTGACTGCCTCGCACGGTTGGTGGATGCCGGTCTTCGTGCTGGCGGCGGCGATTAACTTCACCGGGGCTATAATATACCAAAGCCACAGTTCGGCGCTTCCAGTGTTGTGATATGCTCTATCTCTCATCCAGCGATTATTTGTTATCGAAAAGAGTGAAGTGGTCAAGTGTTTGTCGAGGACATTGCGGGGAGATATCTGTTTGCTTTGAGATCACCGTGTGAACGGTGCTCAGAACGAGGTAGCTGTGAATGTTTACAGGAATCTTGGTGCGATGCGTTCGCGGTCACATCGCGTGTCGGCCAGTCGAAGACATATCATAATGCTTTATTTATATCGTAGATTAAATTTTTATCTTCTTTGAATCGCGCGCGGCGAAGTGTGATTTTTTGACAGATGGTGCCATAACGTAGATGGAATGGGATTGGTTTGAAGGAACTCGGAGGAAATCGGACATACAAACACATGAAACTCATCGTACACCTTAATTAATATATACGTATTGTATTACTAAAAAATTAGCGGAAAACATTTTGTGATATGTTCTAATAAAAATTACAAATTTTAGTTATGCGGTTAGGATATAAAATGTATATTCTATAAAACGTATAAGATTGTACATAAAAGAAATTTTAACATTTCACATTTATATATTTCTTAAAGCATTTTAGATATACGGGAGAGACGATCTTATTCGCCTGTGTGCATTGCGGAAGACGAGAACGAGACTTACGAAATGACGAAATTCCAAACAATTCAAAAAATATATATATAACGATTTAGAAATGTTTAATAATACAATAAATATATAATGATTTTTCTCTGCAGCGGATATTAAGACGGATTATAAAGACAAGTCCTTTCTCAAGTATTCCGATTGCAGTATTTGCGACAGCGTGTCTCTCGATAAATTTTTGTTTAATCCCATTTCAATGAAGGCGTTATCTTGGCAATTCGTCACGCTCGACTGTCTCCGAGTACCGAGAGATCTCGCGTCGACCGCTTTCGTCGATCGTGCATCGTGGGATTTGTCACGTAATCCCGTATAATTCTCAAAAGAAGTATCGTCACGAATTCTTCTATTCTCTTGGCTAATATCAACAGACGTCGCTTGTGTGGCATTAGTCACGGTATTCGAGCAAAAGCGTTCTGCGTCGTTCTCGCTCGTGTAATCCTCCGTCGAATCGTAGTCGTCGCTGTGTCTCTCGAAATTTTCGTACAGCACGTGCGAGCCAATATTGTGACTCGCCAGAATATCCGCGATGTCGCTTGCCGACGGTTTCACATCTCGAGGATATTCTTCCTCTTTCCCCTCGACACCTGGTTTGTGAATATTGTCGCTGTAATGCTGCAGATACTCCTCGATGGACGATTTGATCCTCGCCCTCGTCTTGCCATCGTCCGTAAACGGCTTCACTACATTTACAATGGCTGTATCTTGTTTTTTATTACAAGCATTCGAGGCAGTTGCACGAATTGATCTAATATCATTGGCGACGTCGTGCGCTTCAGTGTATACGGACCGCTTTTTCGCAGTAGGGAAATTTTTATTCCGCTGTATATCCGCGGAAATATTTTCCGCGGCTTCGTCGACTCGTGCCCTCGTTGTATCATTGTCAATTATTTCGCTGTCGACGTTTCGCAGACGAGAGACTGCCGATCTGATCCTCGCTGTCGATCCTTTTCTGTCGGGAAAAATTATGCTTCTCACAATTTCGGCCTCCTCCTGCAAGCTCGGCTTGCTGCTCGCTCGGAGGACGCTGGTCGCGCTTCTGCGCAAGTAATGATTCGCCTTGGGATCCATGTAATTTCTCTGAACGCTGTCTATCTTAGATGTCATCTTCTCCAGTGTCTCGTATAATTTTTTCATTCGGACACTGTCGATGCGATCCTTGCCCTTCGTCCAGCTTTTTTCCTCTCGTAACGCTTGCCATGCCGACTTCACGTTCTCTACTTCGCGATCTATATCGCCTCGCTCGTCTGAAGCGTGAAACGATCAAAATGCAATTTTATTTTTAGAGCTTATAATCTAATCATAATAAATATATAAAAGGCATTAAAAAGAGAAAAATTTAAAAAGCGAACGGAGTTACTCGATACTAGAAATTTACACTCTTCGATTTGTTTGTTCAGCGTTCTCATCGAAAGAAAAATTTAAAAAGCGAACGGAGTTACTCGATACTAGAAATTTACACTCTTCGATTTGTTTGTTCAGCGTTCTCATCGAATCCTCTCTGCCAAGTGTAGGTAGGTAAGTATTTTTTGCCAGCGAAAAATTTGTTACATTCGAATCTGGATCAACTGTCACGAAATCGATACGCGAATTTAATTCCGGCAAGACGGTAGACGACTTCCGTTTTGCAAGGTCCGCATGATTTAACGCAGATTTGATGTGTGACGTAGTATTATCTATTTAATTAATCAATTTAATTAATACGGACGCGGAAAAGGCAGAATATCTTAAATAATTAAATATTTCTTATCCGATTAATATTGAAATATTTTGCCTCTATTTTTATGCAAATTTTAAAACAATCTAAAAAAAACTAGTGCAATGCAAAGAGACAATGTTTAATTTAGTTAATTCCACACCTGTCTTAGAGTAAGGCAGTGTTTGCTCCGACTTATTCCTACGCAACAAATGAGTCTGCGACGTTAACGGACGTGATTGTTCGGCATCGACGAATGAATTAAATTCATAGATGAAATTGCTTGTCGCTGGAATTCTTTTTACAGGACTCACATGTGATCTCTTTCCCTGCTTCGTTATATTTTCCGCTATCTGTCTCCGAAAATATTCTCATTAATATTTCAATTAATTTCAAGCATTAATTTGTAACCACCATTCTCGAAAGTAAATTAGGAAATCAGGCTATAATTATAACAATCCTAAATAACACAGAGTGACATTAAAAGAATCTATTTTGGTGTACCAGACGTCACTATGTCGTCTTTTAATGTCATTCTGCTACTTGGAATGCAAATCATTTTCTGGCTGCGATATTAATTATGTTGTTTTACATGTCCCGACGCATTTAAATGACAGAAAAACGTACAATATCGCGTTTTTCTTTAGCCAGGACATCCTTGTTAGAAGGCTTCGCTTCACTTTTATTCAAAACAGCATCGGCTTGTAATTTTCGATTGCCGTTGAATTTGTTACAATGAGGATTCAGATTGTTCTTGCTTTGATCGCCTTGCGCTTTCAGATCCCGCGTAACTTCTGGCAGTTTCTCGCCGTCGACTTTAGCGAGACGCGTTCTGTGTGGATTTAAAAATTTTAGATACACAAAAGATAACTTTGAGATACGTAAAAGCAAACGCGTGCATTTATTACTATTACGAAGTGCAACAAGATAGAAATTTTACTTTGCACAAGTATTCATGCAAATGTATTCCTCTGAGCACTTATTTCCATCCTTACTCAACAGAGAACCGTTACAATCATCCGTTTGTCTGCTCTTCCTTCGTCGCGACTTTTTAGTGATACTGAAAAGTAATTCTACGTCATATGTAATCACGTATATATATTTTAAATGTATATGATCCCTCTTTCGCCTACTTTCCGGAGAGAGCTGCAGCCAATTTGCCTTTCGGTACGTCCACGTGCTGCGGCAATACCTTCTCCTGTTCCTCTCGTTCTGCCTTTTCCAGAAAAACAGACAGGGCGTTAATTCTATTATACTCCTCACAATTTTGTGTCCTGGCACGAACAGTGTTTAGATTCGTCGCGGCGAAGGAGAGTAAGACAGATAAGAATGAGAATACGAAACGATTCGCGACGAGTTGGATCTTCGTTGCTTTTGAAATCGGTGTGTCCTTCTTTTCTTCTTAAAATTATATCTCTCGAAATTATTTAGCCCGTCTTTTAGATTCAGATCGAAAGGTGTATTATTTCTATACGTGTATGTATATTTATAGCAAATTAAAAGACAAGCAACGCTTGGTTGAAACACCGCGGATTATGTGTTGCGCGTTGACACCTTCCCAACTTCATGTTTGCAGGTCCGCAAAAAAAATGGAATCGATATCCGATTTAAAAAATGAAAAACACTGAATATCGATGAAGCGCCGCGCGCATGCGAATTCGGATGTTCATTCGTTTTAATAAAAATAAATAAATAAAAGGCTTTGTGGCTTTATTTATCAGTCTTTATTCGTATAACTAATCGACAGATCAAAATATATTTATATTACTTTTTTATATATTTTTATATATGTAAAGAGGTTAACAATACAGAGCTATATGTACCTTGCTAGGTGGGAACATCAATGTAAAACAAACATTTAATTTAATATTAAATTATGATTTAATAAGTATCATAAAAAATTCTTAAAAATTATTTTAACAAGCTGATTAAATTACTAGCTCGCAAAAGAAATAATTTGTCTCATAACAGAATAGCATACAGTGAAACTAATTTCTTTATTGCATTTCTAACTTCTTGATCAAATAATTGTAGAACACTAGTGCAAATGCAGACAAAGGTGACTTAAGCAACATTATAAAGAGATACAACAATATAATAAATGCAAAACTTTAAGACGACTCAGAAGCTTTATTTAACAATTTATTTGAAAAAACGGAAGAAACAGGTGTCTTTATCAAGTAATTATTAACTTTACATATTAATACATAATATATGTAAAGTAAAACTTTAGAATTAAATATAGTCTTTTCTGTATAATTACAATCTATGTCATAATATATAAAATTATTTACTTATTAACTTTTGTTCATTTATTTTCTTAATAAAATGACGACGCTAAAGCCATTTTATTTAACGTCGTTTTTGTAGCCACTGTCAAATCAGCGTTGCGGGGATCAGTCATTCGATTGAAGCTGGAGCAATAAACCAAAATTTTTTAAAAACTATATAATATGCACTACAGAAGTACATACGGATATTTTAAAATATAGATTTTTATAAAAATTGCGAGCATTTGAAAAAAA